GAACGCAAGACGGAGACCGAGTCGCTCTAAACTACCAAAGCACCGGCAAAATACGAACCACCGCCTGCGCGCTGGTCTCGCCGAACCGACCGCGGTCACCTTTTCCTCTCTTTATACACCAGCTACTCTCGACTGACCTACACACCGACATTCGCTCGCTAATAATAACGGTACATCGCGGCGAGGCGTCGATACCACGATTCCTCTTCTTCGTCCCGTCTGTTTTCTTCGCTTCGCTCTTCTGTCCCTTTTTTTGTCGTAAAATCACGACCACCGTCGTCTCGATCGTAGACGAACGGCGCCTACGAAATGTACGAAGCGCGCTAAACGTCGCCAAACGAGCAAACGTTATCGAAACGCGTATATCGCGATCGATGGCAATTACTTTGACCGATACGATGCAGCTGTGTTCGCGTCTGCTGACCGTATCGCACAGTCGACGGAGGCTGGTCGGCGAATTAATAAATTTGAAACGTTCTCCTTTCGAACGACCACGATTGCGACACAGGAGCGCTTCCGCTAAGCGAATCGACCGATTTAACGAAGAATTTTGGCAGAGCGGATGGCACGCAGCGAGGTTCGTGTAAATACGCGGAAATACGTGGAAATACGAGCTCGCGTTGGAAGGGACGGCGATCGCAATTGCGGTCGGTACCTTTCGGCTGTGGCAACAGAAACACGAAGGAAAGAAAGGTGAACAGCGGAGCGAGCCTGTGGAGGAACGGCCCTCCTCCGCGATTAACCTTGGACTTGACTCGAAGGAATTCTCGCAGCGTACAGTGACCTCTGCTCGCCCGCTAACTCGACGCTCGTCGTCTCGACTCGGTTGGTTCGCACTCGCGCCGCGCTCATCTTCGCTCTGTTTTCGCTCTGTTTCCATCCGATTCCGAAATCCACTGGAATTCGTACGTTCGCTTGTTTACGCGCACACGCTCCGCCGTACATCGATCCTATTTCAACGTACGTACGTACGTACGTACGTACGGACGTACGTTCGAGCTGGCAAGCCGCGCGAGCAATTTATTTAGTTATTTATTTATTTATTTATTTATTTATTCGTTTCGTACACGGGAAGTAAAATCCCATTAGAGTACAAAGAATCGTGTGTAAAGAGAACGCGAATGGAATACGAACATAAATTTTCTTATATTTCTCCCTATACGTATTTATGTTGTTGCCGCTTCGGCGTTCTATCGCGTTACACGCGATTCTTTGTACTCTAATGGGATTTTACTTCCCGTATATCAGACGAATAAATTAAATTAATTGAGTCGAAAAGAAAAGGAGTAAGGAAACAAAGCAAGTCGGAAGATGCGAGAGGCTAGCGGAAAAGGAACGAAGAAGGGGAGAAATTGCAGAAGAGGAAGAAAGGAAGGAACGCGCGCGCGTTACAGAACTCTGAAAATTTAGCAGAAATAGAGAGCCAGAAGAAAAGTCAGAAAAGCCGACTATCGTCGATCTAGCATCGCTAAACGTTTGCATTTTGCCTTGTTTCAGAAGACGTGGGTTACAGGAGCGTTGAGATCGCGTCCGCGTTTACGCATCTACCGCAGAAAGGTAAGCACGGGAGAAGCGGACGAAGCGATCGCGATTCGTCGTACGTATTCGTGGACGTTCGAGCGGAGACGCGACTCGAAACTCGCGGTCTAGAAAGATCGCCGCGTATCGAGATCGCGCCGAGACGATAAAAACGAAACGTCGGGTCGCGGTGTCCGAACCGGCGGACCGCTTCGGACGTCGAAAACGTTCGACGAGACATCGACGCTGGATCGAAACTCGATCGAACGTAAGAAGAGAACGAGAAGATACTTTTCGCGCGCGACGCTTCCAAAAATAAACACGCTATCGAGATTCCGAGACCGAGCGACGACGGACCGTTCGACGACGAAGCTCGTCGCGGTGTCCGTTTCCGCGCAGGAAACCAGACACGTTGTTGCCGCTGTCGCCTTCTTTCCATTCTCGATATTCTCGTCTCAGCGTCGATGTTGTCGGTAGCGCTTCTTCGCGCGATCGTCGATTACTTCGAAAGTGGAGCTCCGCGACGCGAAACACCGCGCGTCGTCCATGCGTGCGTGTATATATGTATATACGTGCACAGAGATGGCCCGGGATACGCCAGGCTCGCCAATGTCCAGACCGAGAGACCTGGTCGGCGGAGTTGGTGCTACGACCACCTTGACATCGGGCGGCTATCACGCTGGTTCCGGCGATCCAGCGAGCCTGCATGGTCACGTGCTGCAGCAGAAGATACTCGAGGTAACGTAATCGATTCTCGTTCGTGGTTGCACGATTGCACGCGCGTCACGATCCCGCTTTCCTCCTATCCCTCTCTTCGTTGCCACCGTTTAATGGCGGTTGACGCGCGAACGCGATCGACGCACAGGTTCGAACATACTCGTAATTGCCCCTGGCCGCGTCGTCGGCAGACTCGAGACCGGAGAAGATAAAGTTTCTGTCGAAGCGAAACGAGCGGTGACCAGCGACGTTGCACGGCTATGAAAAAGAATTTCGTTCGCACCGCTACCCCGTACGGGCA